TATTCTGCACTTGAACTTGACAGAACATTGTGTGTTGAGGGGAAGCTGAACTGGCCTGAAAACAACTTAGAACCATTTTTCTGCCCAAACGCCACGTCTTCTGCTTCTTCGCAGGTGGGGGAACAGATATGGTGGGCTCGGGAGAGGACATCACAGAGAACCCTAGGTGCTGTCCGTCCCTCCCATGCAGAGATTGCGTCCTAGGTATCCCTCCTCTTTTTGTTAGAAGGGTTAGCGGATAGAGAATTCTGCACTTGAACTTGACAGAACATTGTGTGTTGAGGGGAAGCTGAACTGGCCTGAAAACAACTTAGAACCATTTTTCTGCCCAAACGCCACGTCTTCTGCTTCTTCGCAGGTGGGGGAACAGATATGGTGGGCTCGGGAGAGGACATCACAGAGAACCCTAGGTGCTGTCCGTCCCTCCCATGCAGAGATTGCGTCCTAGGTATCCCTCCTCTTTTTGTTAGAAGGGTTAGCGGACTTGGACTTTGCAGCCACCGCCACGAATGACTGCTTTCCCCATGGCTTAGCGTTTGAAGCAGCGGGGGGACGAGCCGCCTGCTTCGTGCTCTGGGGTTTTGCAGTCCTGGATGCATTCAAAAACCTCCTGTTCGGCGTCGGAGGAACAGGACTCGGGGGAACAGGAGGACGCGGTGCTCTTTTACGTGGCAGACAGATGTCAAATGCCTCGCCTGCCTTCTTCTGGAGGTCGCCCCTCTGTCTCATCGCCGCAACGGCTGGGCCGAACAATCCACTCAAATCCACAGGAGCATCGAGAAAGTCTAATTTCTCCCTGTCCCTGACACTCGATAGATTTAGCCACAGTGACCTCTCGCCCGCAATGCCAAGTGCCATGGTACAGCCGCAGCTGTGCACCGCACCATGTGAGGTGCGCAGATTGAGATCCGTTATGCTGCAGATCTCCTCCCAGACCACCGGGTTTGGATTGCCGGCGTCCAGCTGAGTGCCCAGCTCCTCCAACAATTCGGCTTGATAGGCCGTCAACAACAAATTGACGTTAAGTGCCCGCACTGCCAATACTGAGGATTTATACATTTTTTGGTACATGGAAGCAGTGATGCGTTCCATTTTCCCAGGGATGGAGGGACTAGCAGATGAAAGAGTGGTTCGTCTGTTTGGATGCAGGTGGTGAGCCACTGACTGTTTGACCATGGGAGGGTTATAGTGCCCAAGCCCTTCCATTTCACTCACATCGAGCGATGAGTATCCCTTGACGGGCACACGATGAGAAAAGGGTTTGTCCCACGATCGCTTCATCTCTGCTACACACGCCGGCAAAGCGGGAAGCAGTTGTTTCGCCGGTGGAAGGCGAGAAGGAAGCCTTTTCCTATCATAGATGTTACTTTTAACTCCCAGATCCCCAGGAGTTATGGGCCAAGAGATGCCAAGCTTAGCTGCCGTGCGCTTACAAACTTCCACTAGGTCACAATCTACCACCGTCAATGCCATGTCGCTGCTTTGCGCGCTCACGGGCCTAGACGCTTGTGCTGCAGACAGGATAGCATCATCCTCCTCATCATCTGGCTCATCTCGGAGGAGGCAAGCTAACATCTCCTCATCCTCCTCCTCCTCCCTCCGCAAGCAGCTGCTGGTCGAAAAGCGGCGTAAGCTCAGGAGACTCTGAATCCATAATATCCCCCCACGAAGGAAGATCCCGTGGGGGAGAGGGTTGGACCACCTTTGTCGAAGGAGGGACAGAAGATAGAACCGGATCGTCTTTAGAAGATGCAGCCACCTGAAGCCTTCTTTCCAATATCCTGGCCGGCATTACACGACAGTGCGCGCAACTCTCCGCATCCGCCAGCGTGGCCTGAGCGTGCTTAACACCCATGCACGCGATACACATCGGATGCGAATCCCTGCCCAAGATCATAAATCCACAAGCTGCCGGACACGAGCTCGAAGGGACATCCTTCCCTTTCTCCGTTGCGACCTTGGACCCCGACATGGTGAGTAGAATAATCTTAGCTCGCCTTAACGCGTTAGCTAGAAAAAACTCAGTAACGAGTAGAGAATCCACAACAGATTTTAACTGCACTGCGTTCGGTTTGTGAACTGAAACCTCGCAGAACATGTGCTGAAGGAAAGTCTTCATGGCGAAGAGAACAAGAATGCTGTTTTCAGGGATCACAGCCATATATATAGGGAGGGGGTGGGCTCCTTGTGAAGAGCTGTGATTGGTCCGGCCTTCGGACAGACATGGTGTAATTGGTGCTTCCATAGTCTATCACGCCTGGGGTGTTTTCCATAGTGAGATAACGAGCGATTGTTTGAAAGAGAACATTAATAGCAGTAGATAACGATTAATATTTATTGATGAACCACTCTAAAAATCAGCCTATTGATAACTGATACCAACTGGCTTGCTAACTAAATAGCCAGTGCTAACCTGAGGTCATTTTTAAATATAAAGTCCAAATATATTTAGTCAGCCACCTTGTTAGATTACATTTTATGGAAAAACAAAGGATGCGATGCCCCATGGGCATGTTTTACCCCAAGTGGTTCGGGGCATTTTACCCCACAGACTACTTTTGAAAAAAAAAAAAGTAATTTCAAAAATATAATTATATTTTATACTATTCTCATATCATACATAACTTTGAAGTTCTGCAAAACAAGCTTTAAAACACTTTTGTTTCTTATTGCTGAAAATGTGATCACTTAACTTGATATTCTTTTCTCTTATAGGTATGTCACCAGTGTAAGCTTCGCAGTGAATACTTCTACATCACTCTTGTCAACGTAGTCCATAGCAACAAGAGAGAGGTATCCTGACTGTATCTAGAGGTTATTTTATTTTATAACAGTAGGGGGGCATTTTACCCCAAGGGAGCGTTTTCACCCACTCTACCTTACTTTTGAGGAAGAAACATTTGAAAAGAAAATGCCATGGTGTTCAGAAATAAATCTAACACTATTTATAGATTTAGAATACATTCAGATGGCTGTAGGCTAAACTGTAGAAATGGTATGTGTATAATCAGTCGCCTCACAGCAAGTAGGAATTATAGCAATTTTAGAATTACTGTAGGAATAATCATAAAAGAATTAAGATGCAGTTTTAAATAGAGCGTCACGCTGCAGGATGTCAACTTTACAAGTATTTTTGTGTGAAGGGTAAAATAAGAGAAAGATAAATTCCCTTTAGTTGTTGCTAGACATCAGGTGAACATTATTTTATGAGTTTATTTACCCTTTAAAATGCATTTTAAATAGTGCAAGAAACTTGGCAATGTTGCTGCTCTCCTATTTCAAATCCGAACGAATAATATGTGACCCTGGACCACAAAACCAGTCATAAGGGTCAATTTATTGAAATTGAGATGTATACATCACCTGAAAGCTGAATAAATAAGCTTTCCATTGATGTATGGTTTGTTAGGATAGGACAATATTTGGCCGAGATACAACTTTATGAACATCTGGAATCTGAGGGTGCAAAAAAAATCTAAATGCTGAGAAAATTGCCTTTAAAGTTGTCCAAATTAAGTTCTTAGCAATGCATATTACTAATCAAAAATTAAGTTTTGATATATTTACAAAATATCTTCATGGAACATGATCTTTACGTAATATACTAATGATTTTTGGCTTAAAAGAAAAACCAATAATTTTGACTCATACAATGTTTTTTTTTGGCTATTGCTACAACTATACCCCAGCGACTTAAGACTGGTTTTGTGGTACAGAGTCACATATGTTACTGATTCAAGCAGGTTATCCTCTTAAACAATATTGGCTGAAATCAGATAAAACTGAACCTGCTTTCAATGAAAACTAAATTTGTTGTTTAAATCAACTATGAAGACATGAAGATATTATTCAAAGACCGAGTAACCATTATGCATACATCAAATATGAAATGAAGTAGCATTAATTTATGGAAAACAGACAAACATTTTATGGTGCTGAAAACATGCTTTATTAAATCAGTAATTCATAAAACTCAAGGAGGCTGAATATATGGGTAAAACTACATGTATTCGTTCTAATAAATCAATGTGCAGGGTTTTACATCCATGTAATTTTTCTTTTCTTTGCACAGCACATGAAGTCTCTGTGGTACATTGCTTGATGTATACCCTGGCTGCGGACAAAGTGAGATTCTACTGCTAACACACACACACACACAAAATATAACCTAGCAATCCTCCAAGAGTTGGCACAGCTTCTGCAAGGAAGCACTTGAATTGATTTTACAATGAATGGCCAGGTGATGTTACTTTCATAAAATCAAAATTCAAAAAGTCTGTTGCCAGAAACTGTGCACAAACATTATCATTAACTCGCACAATGAGCTTGTCATTAAATTGGCGGTATGACTTAATCAGTCTGAACACAAGGCCTAGTCGCCCTGCTTACATGAGGGTAATGCAAACAGCACTCAAGGTCTTATGTTCAAGTCATAAATTCTTGTGTACTGCATTACTGCACGCACAAATGTACAGTGCATAACTTTGTCTCTCTGATTTTAGTTAACTTCAACAGGGAGCCTCTCTACCTGTTGTGCACAAACATTATCATTAACTCATTGTGCTCGCACAATGAGCTTGTCATTAAATTGGCGGTATGACTTAATCAGTCTGAACACAAGGCCTAGTCGCCCTGCTTACATGAGGGTAATGCAAACAGCACTCAAGGTCTTATGTTCAAGTCATAAATTCTTGTGTACTGCATTACTGCACGCACAAATGTACAGTGCATAACTTTGTCTCTCTGATTTTAGTTAACTTCAACAGGGAGCCTCTCTACCTGTTGAGGCAATCTTAAGACTTCAACTTATTGTTGAGGCACATAGTTTTGTTTCAGGTTTAACAGGGTATTTGTTCCATGTGAAACTTTCTCCTGATAAACATTTAGTTCCATTTGTTAATATTGTCATAAATAACAATTCATACATTTTCCATAACCGGTAAATTCGGCTATATACATTATGTACATGTCACAAAATGGTGCTGAACTTCTGATCATAATTATCCAATATGGTACATTTTATAACAACTTTAGACTTTAGTCTAGTTTGGCATAAATTAATGTCAAGTTTGGTAAAAAAAAAAAAAAAAAAAGTTAATATTTACAAGAACAGAAATTCAGGTCTTTATCAAGAACAGAGTATTTTTTTTTCTCATTCTATAAATAAAAAGGATTTGAATGAGGGAAATGGGGTGAGGATTGTATTGCTATTATATAATTTTTTTTTTTTACATCCATCGAATCCTGACATTGACAGTAGTGGTATCAAATCCAAACTCGTTAAAAAGTTTTAAGGTGTATGCACCAGCATCAGTCTCTTTCACTCCACTTATAACAAGAGTGGTAACATCTTGAGAAGTCTCAATCTGCAATCGCCCACTCTCTTGCTCCTTGCTGGATAGTGTCTTCCCTGAATGTGACCATTCTATGCAAGGGGTTGGGTCTCCAATGAAAGCACAGGCTACAGTCAGGACCTTCCCTGACTCAATACTGATATCTTGAGGAGCAGCCTCAATCTTTGGTGGTATACCTGGTGAGAGGACAAACAAATTAATCTGTTATTATGCTGATAATAGCTCTGCCGATATTGGGTTTGTTGAACTGTAAATGTTTTTTGGCGAAGATGCACAGACTTTCCATCTCACCTTTGTGGCCATGAGAAATGGCTTTGATGGATGACCCCTCAACATGCGAGTGACTGGACAGTGCCATCATACTGCTGGAGCTCATAGCTATCATTCTTTCAGAAGTCATGGAGGTCATGCTAGACGCTGACATGCTCTCAAATTTAACCTCAGCCATGCTGGAACTGCTGAAGGATGTCTCTTGCATTTTTGAAACCGCATGCTTGGCAGAATAACTGCCCTGCATGCTCGTAGCATCAGAGGCTTTCTCCACAATTATCATTTTGGCAGGTTCCTCAACCAGAGCTGTGAGAGTACAGCAAATACCATGACATTAATGCAGTTTATTTCATAAAAAGGTACAACAGGCAATTCAAATGGTGCAACTGGCCTCTGTTTCCTGTTTGAAACATTTGGGAATATTTAATGTATAGTATACTGGAACATTTTTGACAGCATTGGTATTACTAAAATAAATAATGCTCCAGTTGTACCACTTTCAGATTGTACCTTTAAGGAAATTAATTTGGTAATGCAAATAAAAAAATACAATCTTTTGATTATTTTGACTTCATTCTCAAACATTTTTGTTAAATGAATCAAGCTATGTGGTGCATGGCTAATGGGTGGTAAAAATGTTTTGGATATTTAAGTCCTTGAAAATTCATGCTGTTAACATGTTATCACTATGCCGACTACATTCATTTATATTATATGGTGCCTTTTTATTTTGTACTGTGGTAGTTAAATTCAGTAGGTCAAAATGCAGTCCAACAATGTCAAAAAGATCAAAAGAACAGTCCCATTTGTAGAAGGAATTGTTAGATTTTGTTAGCTTGAGTGGTGAGCAGAGATAATTAGTTATAATTAGATATGTGTTCTTCTTGGACATACATGTTTGTTTTGATCATGCATTTAATGTAATGGACAGGGTGCTCATACTAGGTTACTATAGAGTGTTAATTTTTTCTTAGAAAGAGATCACTTACTGAGGACATTCAGTGATGCTGTTGCAGAGCACTGTCCAAATTTGTTCTTTGCTTTTACTGTGTATTTTCCGCTGTCTTCAATGGTAGCGTTGTGAATCTCAAGTGTGTACACATTCTTAGACCGGCTCAATTTCATGTTCGATGTAATAGATATCTGCAAAGTTGAAGGGAAATTCAAATAAACTTAACAGACCGCTATGAGGAAAAACACAAATAAACTGTTTTTTTTTCTTCCCCGGAAATATAATGACAAGCTACTCACTACTGAATTATCCTTTAGCCACTCAATTTCAGGAGAAGGTTCACCAGTGATTTCGCATGTAAATGTGACATTTTGTCCCTCGTTTACATTCTTTGAGTGTGGTTGCACAAGGAAACTTGGTGCATTTGAGCGCATTGCACTGACGGTCATGTCAAACTGGCACTTGACTACACCATGTTCAGTTTTGGCCTCACATGTGAGAATTCCCTGGTCATGGTGGCTGATGCTTTTAATTGTCAGGGTGTGATCATTTCCTGACACACCGTATCTGTAGTTCTCTGAATTTGATAGCTGGGCTCCATTCAGGATCCATTTCACATCAGAGGCTTCAGGGATGTTTGCTCGTAGCGTAACAGTCTGACCTTGACTCATAGTCATTTGGGATTTTGATGCTTTAATTTCTGTAAAGGACTGCACTTCCTCAAAAGCAATCTCCTTTTTCACTATTTGCTCTGTCATCTCTGCTTTCTGTTCCATGCCAACTGTCGTTGTCCGCGCTGTAGCGGAAAGAGTAGTTAATTTTTATTAATGCACAACTGTATGTGCAAAATTATGCTTACTAAAATCATAATGTATTTTGAGTGCTAAATTGAGCATTACAATACCTTGAACGGTAACAGTGCAGTTTGTAGTAACAGATCCAGCACTGCTTTTGGCTGTACATGTGTATACTCCACTATCAGAGACATCAGCTTCATAGATTTCAAGATGTGCTGAACCATGTTTTTCAAAGATTTCATATTTTCCACCTTGAGAGAGGTTCTGTGAGAAAAAATGTAAAAATTAAAGTTAGTAAATCCATTCATTATAATATATATATA